AATTTTTGATAGGAGGATGTTGGGGAGTTCATTTCCAACACAGGGACAAGTCTGCACTATATTATAAGGTTTATTTTGGTATTTCTATTACAGTGATATCTTCAGTGTTTCCACACAAAAAAAACCCCACTGAACTCTCTTGGGTAATTTAACAATATTGTGCTCTGTGGTTGTGCTGTGTTTGACAGATCTGTTTTTGCCAGGAATGGGATTATTTCATAATGGAAACTGACTATATGTGGCCCTCTTATCCGGAAGTGTTCACAAATATCACCTCTCATTCACACTTGGCCAGCAGTGAGTGACGAGAAGAGGCACCACTTATCACCTGTTCAAGGACACTGTGACACATGTGGAGGAAGTGGTGTCAGGCGTAGATCCATCAGCCTTGAAATAATTGACAAACACACGTGACTTGCTGGTAATCAGCATCACCTTGTCATAAGAAAACTAGAGCCGTGTGTCTCTCTTGTCTTTCTTTGCTCTCTTGTTCGGAGGCCTTAACGGCCTGGAGCTTGGAACTGTTTCTCCGTATCACCTCAGCTTGTTCCCAGAACTTGCTTTCCAACACACAAACCTCAGATTCCGTACTTGGAATCTTATACAGCCATTCCTCCAATATGTGGATCACTGCCCGAGTATCCAATTATCTTGAATCTCCCCTGCAGCTTTTTATCACCTACACCACACTTGCTGGTCTTGTTTGGGTTTAGTTTCTCTTGGAACTGCTTAGGCTGTCATGACTCTCTTCACCTGTTTGTCCATTAACACAACAACACATCAGGATCACCTCACGAGATCTCTCAACTGAAATTCAGGTCATGTAAATAAATGGTGAGCAGGTTGTAATTAAGAATAATCATGTGTACATATTTGTTTAGACTGTATACTTATCTTATGTAATCATAAAATATACTTCTACTTTCACAGTCCACTACATGCACATTGTTTGATGCACGACGAAACCTGAAGCCAAGCAATGTTGTGGTGATGTTCTGTGCAGCCATTCACCTTCACCTGCCTCACCTTCTCCGTTAGTTCAGGGTGAGGGCAATATTAACAAATTTAAAGGTGGACACGTCGTTCCAGAGAAAGTTGACACTGGATATCCAAACACTCACCTTTAACCCTGCTTGCTTGTGATATCATTCACCAACTACCTCTATGATTCATCAGGATGTGTGTGATGTGCTTTAAAAAGCAGCGTCCTAACAATCAGACCTTAAACATTCAAATTAAAAAACGATACTATATTATTGTCTAAGTTTTAGTCTATTGTCTTCTGTACACTACTTTAAAGATTTTTTTTTTACCAGGAATAGGATTTTGAAGATTATAGGTATTTAACATTTCAGCTTGAAAGCTGTCACCTTCACAGAGACAACAACTATTAACTTGCCAAGCTACAGTTCGGTTGTTTGTCTTGCCTGCAGGACATTTTCAGTTTTCAGGCCAACAGTAAAACTAAACACTGTCCTGTGGGCATTAAAAATGGGTGAAAAACACAACAGCAAAAAAGCTGCATATGTCTGGTGTCTGGTCAAACTCCTTAACATTTGTAATAAGATTGGTCATTCCAGGAGCACAATTCATCTACTTAGCAATAGTTGTATAAAACATTAGAATAAAGAATATTGATCAGACGTAGTTCTAAAACACCTTGAGTGATGTAATCCCCCTCTTGCCAGGATGCTGCCACAGTACATCTGTTCACACCAGGCAAAAACATTCATGACTGGATGGGTCTCCTGTGTTTTCACAAAAAGTCTGCCATCTGTATGATTAAACACAAAGACATCATTTATTTTTTGCAAGAACAAAATGATTTTGGAACGTGTCTGGTGGTACAGATGTGACTGGGCCGTGTGTTTGCGTCAGCATGGCTCCATGGGAAAATATGAATCATCAAAAAAATGCACTCATAACTATACCTAACTGCATGGAGTTCAAAATAAAAAACATCATTCAACTGGTACCTGGGACATCATCCACAATAAAAAGATGGGATTTGTATCTTGGGGACATATGGCATTAATGCAAACAAGAGTGTCCCCGTGCCTGTCCCTAAAGTCTGAGGACAAGTCAGTGTGAATTAGACATCACAGGCAATAAAACACCTTCAAATGGGATTTATCAGGTGCCGTTCAATTTTGGTGATTTGTTTCACTGTCATAATGTTTTTTGGGTTTTTTTTTTTTTAAATATAACACATTTGGACTAGGAGGTCAAAGTCTTTGTTCCCCACCTCCCCCTCCTCCCCCAAGCCATGAACACAAACTCCATACAGAAAGACCAGGAACTGAACTAGTAAACCACGTGGTCCACTTGTGTCGCTGCTTTTGTTCCTGTGATTACAGACACACACAGCAAAAATGACTGTCATCAAGAATATTTGATGTACATGGACACGGTTTATTTGTGCGGTTTATGTGGGATCGGAAAGATGAGAAGAAGAAGTGCATTGTTCTGAATAGAAAAAACAAACATCTGATGACAGCTGACGAGGCAAGAACTGATCCTCATGAAAGGCTGATCATTATTGATGATAACATGCCTGAACAGTTGATGGACTCTAATCCTGGGTTATTGTTTCATCATCACGCTCTGTTTGCATCTCTCAGTTGTAAACAGAGCCTTGTCTCTAGGAGTGCTAAGGTTTCCTGTTAATTAAGAGACATCAGACTGGACCCACCAGCAGGATTCTGCTTAGGTCACAGAGGGTAATGAAGTCAGCTGGAAAGAAAGAAGGAGAAAAAAGAACGCCCTGCTTCTTTCTCCTGGTTGTGATTCTAATGAAAGCTCTGGTACAAAAGCAAATAAATTCCCCACAAGAATTTATGCTTTCCGTACCCTGAGGCCCCCCCCCCGAACCCTCCACTTCCACTTGCCTCCTCCCCACCTCTGTGTTTTATTAAAATAATTCAGAACTTCAGCTTTTCTCTCACAGCATTTCTATGTGGCTGGTGTTGTGTTAATGAGGCTCTTGCTTTCTTTACTTCCCTGTTGATAAAAAGGGAAGACAGGATGATGATCTGTCACCACTGGAGCTCATGTGCATGTCCCCAGTCAGCACAAAGCCCACACAGAGTGGCACCCATTAAGAATTGATGAATGCTAAAATATAAATCATGTCATTGATTGCGTGCAAAGGAGGGAGGCAGCCCTCGGTGGCTGATGATGCCGTCAACTGGTGACAACAAACTGTCATCGGCGTGACCCAGGTTCACGCTGCCCTCAGTTATCACTTCTATACCCGGCTGGTTGCTCCCAGGCACAGGGCTTGTGTTTAATTGTATCTACAGCCCCAGTTATTTTATGGCATTAAAAATACACCAGCATCTCAGGAAAAGACGGGAACTGCAGAGAGAAAGTGTTACGTCAGGGGTTAAAGATGCCCAGGTTCTTGGAGCTTCTTCTTAGATTACTTTAGGGATGATAAACTGCCAGAGTTGAAGCTCTTTGTGTGGTATGCTGCAGAGAGACCAAAACTCAACGGCGGAAAGATGCTTTTATTCAGATTCTCCACGTGTTTGTTCATGCATTGGCTTTTTATGTCATTTTTGTTCTTCTCCTCTCGCTTTGAAAAGACACTCTTTACCCAAGCACAGCAGGAGAAACTGTCTATAAAAAGTGACATAAACCTCCCAGCATGCTGTCCTCTGCTTTCTCTAACAGGAGCATCCGTTGCCTGAGGAACATTATACACTGGAACCTCATCACTGCCTTCATCCTACGCAATGCCACTTGGTTCATCGTCCAAATGACCATGAATGTTGATGTGCAGGAAAGTAACGTGGTAGGTAGTTGAATCAGTTCTCTCATAACAGTGTTTTACTTTTTTTTACTTTTCCATGCACGACTTCTGTAACACTGACTGATCACTTTAGTTTATAAACCACAGGCATTCTTTTTAAAGGTGCAATCAAACCTAGCACCATTTTATGTTCTTGCGTTAGCTAGTGGGTACTGCTGTGCCTGGAACTGTTTTAGTGCTAGCACTAACTTTAGTTCATTTTTATTTATTTATTTTTCTACATTGTCTCTGCATGTACCAGCAGTTTAGTTCCATTAAAAATCACCAGGGAACAACACTGCAGTGGAGAGTGGTGTAATTTAGTTTTGTGTAACTATTTGTACACTAAAGTCTATTATTTAACCTCTTAAAGAAGGTGTTTTGTAATGTATTTGTTCTTGCTAACATCAGTAGAAGATATTAGCAGGTTGCAACATAAGTTAGCTAAACAATTAAGAAACATTACCACAAATGCTAGTTTCAGTGTTCGAACCTTGAATGGACTCTGGGTCGAATCTTTTTTTTTAAAGCTAACTGTTGGCTCCCTACGCTGCATCATGTTGAGTCCTGAAGCCAATAACTGCTGCTTCAACACCATGAGATATGATACATGTCCTTCCCATGTGTCATTTAAATTCCAGAACAGGGTTTCCAGCATGCAGGAGCTGGTAAGGTCATACTAATTAACACACAGACACCCCCCACTGTTCTCAGTGTCCTATTCTCTTATCACCATGCTCACACATGCTCTCACTTAATCTGACAAATGTATGTATTGGTCGCTGAGTTCAGGTTGACTCACTGAATATTTTACATATTTTAAAAAACAGTGGGATCATGACGCACGGACACTCAGCTCTTTATTCAGCAGCTGTTGTTATGGAGGATTTCATTGAGTCTTAGTGAGAAATGTTTTAAACAAATTTTATTGAAGTCATAAAATAGGACATTAAGTTGCAGTTATTCAGAATGTAAACAATAACTGAGTGTACTACACTGTACTACACTGCCACTCTTATGACTTGTTTTACTACTACTGCTGCTTCTACTACTACTTTTGCCCATCAGTACTACTGCTGCTTCTTCAAATATTACTCCTGTTTGTACTCCTGTACTGTCATGCTGAAGCCACACTTACGTACACGACTACGATTCGTACTACAGAAATATTTCTAATACAATTAGATAGGCAGAAGTCTATTGAAGTATTATTGTCTGTACCACTACTGTGCTATTACTGCTCTCACTAATGCCACTATCAAAGCTACATTCTCAAAAACTCCTGTTAATTCAGATGCTACTACTGTTGCTACTACTACTGCGACCCCAATCTCATACAACAACTACTTCTACTTCTACTAGTACTACTAGTACTACTAGTACTACTGCTGATACTGCTGCTGCTCCCATGTTTACAAGCTCTGTCTGCAATTACAAATCTAAAAATAAAATGTTTAACTATTGGTGACACTACTTATATGACTACATTGACTGTAATTTCTAATAACACTACTCCCTCTACTTGGATGACTACTATTGTAATTTACTTTTATTTTTCATCTAGCTTCTGCTATTTCTCCATCTAATTTCTCATACTGGTACTTCTTTGACTCCTACTAACATTAATAAATACCACTGGGACTACTAGTACTCTTTCTGCTTTATTCATACGAAACAATGCTATTAGTAATACTAATACCACTACCTCCTTGTATAATTTCTACTACCGTACTACTACTACTACTACTACTACTACACCTACTGCTGCAAATACTGCTCTCAGTACTGTCACCAGTACTATGTCTACTGTACTGCTGCTGCTGAGGCTGCTGCTGGTGGGGCTGCTGCTGCTGGGGCTGCTGCTGAGGCTGAGGCTGCTGCTGCTGCGGAGGCTGCTGCTGAGGCTGAGGCTGCTGCTGCGGCTGCTGCTGCTGCTGGGGCTGCTGCTGAGGCTGAGGCTGCTGCTGCTGCTGGGGCTGCTGCTGAGGCTGAGGCTGCTGCTGCTGCGGAGGCTGCTGCTGCTGCGGAGGCTGCTGCTGCTGCGGAGGCTGCTGCTGCTGCTGGGGCTGCTGCTGAGGCTGCTGCTGCTGAGCCAGCAGATGGGGTCTTACTCTATCATTTCTGGGTGACTGGTTCAGACCCTGGCTCTCGTTCTCGTGTCCTTCAGCAGGTGATGATTAAATTAGATTTGAGCGTCACCTGGTCCCTGACTGTTACTGGTGTGAAAGTCTCTGAATCAGAGAGCTGCATGAATACTGCCTGCCTCCATACAAATCAATTTTACCCAAAGAAAACATGGAGCAATTGAATTTCTCAGAAATGAGTCATAGGGCCGTGAGTCAAAAAGGTTAAAGTGACTTGATGTTAAAGCAGAACGACAAGAAGAATGTTTTCTGAGAAGTGGAGTCAATGCTAAAGGTTAGAATTCACAAAAGGTAGTCGTTGTCATTCATACAGTATAATACGACCAAATACTGCAGTAATTTTACATTCAATCATTTAAACCCAAGATAAAAAATAATTCTCATTCCCAAAAATGTCTTGGTGTATTTATCTACAAATGTGTATCCAAGAACTTAACTAAATGTACTTTTATTTTTTTTATCATTAGTATCTGCAAAATATATATTTTGTTCATTAAATTTAGATTTTGAATGTAATTTTACAGTGAGAACATGTGAGAACACTCTGTTTACATGGTCATACATGGTGATAATTATGAGAGTCACTAATTAACAGAGAGAATTTTTTGTTTAAATCAGATCTGGTGTCGCCTCGTCACCGCCTCCTTCAACTATTTCCACTCCACCAACTTCTTTTGGATGTTCGGCGAGGGCTGTTACCTTCACACCGCCATCGTCCTCACCTACTCCACAGACAAGCTGCGCAAATGGATGTTCATCTGCATCGGCTGGTGTGAGTACACTCCAAAAGTTACAAAATGAGATTATCTGTGTTCCACAAAATGTAATACCATTTTGATAAGAAAATGTCAGAAGAAAAACAGAATAAAAGGACAACTTCTGTGTGAGGTATAAATGCTGACTCACCTTCCAAATGCAGGAGAAGGAGAGCTTTATTTGTTTGGATTAAATTGCAAGCTTTGCACCATCAAACAACATTAGCACTAGCACTGGGCCGGGAGTGTGGAAGGCAAATAGTTCTCTACACACAAGAGTCTGCTCCCAAAAATATTTCCATTAACCACAAAATGACATTTCATACCCAGGTTTGAAATGTTAGCTGGCTGGAGGTTATCAAGCCCCGTCATTGGTCATGTGACTCCTTGCAGGAGCCCTTGATTTGTCTTGGCAGACTAGGTCTCTGTCTGGAACTGTCTGGAGAAACAGTTTTTTATTTTTTTTATTTTTTTTTACCTTTTATGTAAAGCTTTATTTTGACTTATCAAAGGAAATTTAAGATATTGTTTTTTCTACATGTCGTGTTATTAGCACAGTTACACTTATTTAAAAAAATGGTCTTCTACGATTAAAGATTCTCCACTTCATATGAAAATTGAGTCTAAGCCAGCGTTTATAAATGTAATGAGACAGATTGTAGGACCAGACTGATTTACAGTTGAACTACGGTTATTTTAAAAATGTAACAAACCTTTTTTTTGGATATTATGGCCCAAACATAACCCCTTTGCCACAAAATGTACTGCCTTTACTAGCAGCTGTGCATTGCAGTGCATTACAAGTAGTAATAAATAAATAAAAAATGAGATATGAGTTTGCTCCATTTCAAGTAAAACAATAAAGAAAGCCAAAATTGTTTTGGACATGTCGCATGTTACAGCCTTTGTTTAAAGAAAAAACTTAATTTTGAGCTTGTTACTGGAAAAATTGATTTTTTTTTTGTTACTATCAGTGAATAACTGTCCAACTATTCTTTTAGCCAAAAGCCAAATCAGCTGCTGCGCTGATTTGTCAAATAATCCTTTAGACTTTGGTGTAGTTTCCTGGGTGCACAAGGAAATAAAAAAAACTGACAGGCAAGCTGGGACATTGATTCTGGCCCAAACACAATGGTGTGCCTCAGTGTTGGTAGAGGACCAGTGGTTATGTGCGAGTGTGTATTTATGAGCTTTTTGGACAAACCACTGGTCACACACTTCAGAGGAAAGGTCTCCAGTAATGAGGTAAACACCAGGAAGACAATCAAATGAGGCATTTCCAAAGGGTTTTTCATATGGTGTCAACCCTTAAATTGTTTTAATTAAGGCGCATGTTAGGGTGAATTAACTACAGCTCGTCATTAGTTTCTAAATGTTAATTAGCCAGAGAATGAGGGCCATATTTTTTCTCATAAATTCCTAAATAAAGACAGACTGAAGGTCAGAGACAGTTTCACCCAACAATACCAGTGTTAGAGTTGATGGAGACGGCAGGATTACGTGTGGCAGCTTGGAAATGTTTTGGTGTGGGGACCACTAACGCCCCATTTCACACTGTCAAACTGAACTATGTGCTGTAGAGATTAGGTGTATTGTGCCAGCTGGATTATATTTCCCCTCAGGGAAGTGTGAAGAAGAGATGGCAACAGCAGCAGCACATTTCTGGGGACTGAGAAAAATAAGGAAAAAAAAAATTAGAACGTTCATGTTTTATTTGCTTCACTTAGCTCCAATTCTGAGGCCCAGGGAGCTGAAATGTCTTCTAAAGTGGTGCAGAGTGGATATAATTTGAAAGCAGTTGGAGAAAATTACTTTTTTTTTCTCAGCTGATCTTGGGGTCGTGAGAGAAGACTGGATTTCCTGAGGTTTAACAGCGTATTGCTAATGAAGTGGAAAGTTGCATGGCTGTGTGTGTGTGTGTCAGCGGAGGTCGTCACGCTTCTGTTTGTGTCATTTAATGGTTATGCGAGTGTGTCGGCCTTATTATTACACACTCACAAGTCACTCGATCAGAGGATCAGTTTATTATAGTCGGTTTATTTATGGTCCAATGAAGTCCAGCTTTCCATTCATTCACAAACTCATGCTCAGGGAGTCATGTCTTGGACAGGCAGCACGACGGCAGCCATGGTTTTGACAGAACTTGGCAGCAACAGTGCAACACTGAATATTAAGAAAGACCAACAATGTTGTTATGACTTAGAATGAGAAGAATTCCAAGAAAACACAACGTCAATTCTGTCTGTGTTTCTGTCACAGGTATACCGTTCCCTATCATCGTAGCTTGGGCCATTGGAAAGTTGTACTACGACAATGAGAAGTAAGTACTGCGACAGAATACTGTCTGATTCTAATGTCGTATTTGACATTTTTGACATGCATTGAGCTGAGGATTACAAGGACTGTAGTTTGATTAACATGGTTGAGGATGATAATGACTTCACCAAAGTTTTGAAAGAACTTCTTTCCGCCCCCATCATGATGCAGTAATGACTAATATACACCAGTCTATAGAGCAAGAATTGTTATTTATACTTTTTCTTGACACTTTTTCTTTCCATAATAAGAATACCATGAATTGGATGACTCACAAATGAAAACAGATGAAACACATGCATCTTCCTGCTGTGCCCCAGCAACATACAGAAAATAAACTGCATGGTCATTTCTGTAAATAATGATGAATGGTGATTAATAGTGGTGTTTTGTCCAGGGTGTTCTTCACCTTTGCCTGAAGACACCTAGTGTCAGCTCCTATCAACATTGCTCATTATACTTTCCACTTATGTTTTTGGAAATGCAATTTCAAGAATCTATTGTGGTTAAAGACCTAAAGGTTTTTAATTACAACATGGTTAATCATGGTCCATATGAGCTCTTAGCAGAGGTGTTGGGTCAAGTGTATAATTATTCTATACAGCTCGATTTATGGGTCTTTGAAATAAGAAGGAAGCAGTTTATAGTTAGAGACGAGGAGTGTGACTCATTTCCTTTGTTTCAGATGCTGGTTTGGGAAGCGAGCCGGTGTGTACACAGACTACATCTACCAAGGTCCCATGATCCTTGTGTTGGTGGTAAGTTCTTAGTCATCCAGGTCATCCATCCAAAGCCGTTACATCAAGACCAACCGGACTGTTTTACTGTAGTTTCTTCGAGACGTTTCAGCTCTTCAGGCTTCTTCAGTTCTAACTGAACTGCTGGGAAAATTCTGGTATTCAGCCTCAGAACAACAGAATTTGACACGGGCCGTGTGCAACCTTGTTATACCAGTCCAGTTGCCCTTGAAGCTACTGAGCTTCTTTTTTTTTTCTCTCACTCTCTGTGTCTTTCTGCATCAGTGCCTGCTCTTACAATCAAACCTCATTATGTCTTTAGCACACTGGCAGGCATGGAATGATGGAAACATCAACCCAATTTCCATTACAGCCACAGTGAGGATGTAACACTTAACCCAGCAGTGTGATGAGATTTAAATCACCCTGGTTCTGCCAGTTCAATAGCACAAGGTTTAATTTGTCCTCCTCAATTTGAGACCAGGGTGTGTTCACTCATTTCCAAATGACATAAATAAATAAATAATAAATAAATGGTCATAAATACAGGGTCTGCAATTCCCTAAGGGGTCCGTAGAGGTACAGCAGATACTGCTGGTTGATTGAATAACTACTTAAATGTTTTTATTTTTTGCATATATTTTAAAGTTAAAACAATGTAGTGTGAATCTGCATGTTGTTTTAAATGCAACATACAATTTTAAAAAATATATACATTTATATATATATATATATATATATATATATATATATATACTGTATATCAGTGCCGCCCTGTCAAATCAAACTGAAATTTTACACTAAGCTCAGGTTTTCTTTCTGTCTCAGAGCTCTCACTCCGGCCTGAAATGCATCTATTCTTGGGGATTCAAATGTACAGCAGATAACAAAGTAAATCCCGTCTTTTTTCTTGAAACAAGGACAAGTACTGTAGTATATGTGCCATCTGAGAACCATTCAGTATTTGCAGTAAAGCCGCGTTGTACCTCCCTGCTCACCATCTTCTTGATGCCGCTCTGTCAGCCCTTAGGCTGGGCTTATGTGAGTGATCCTGCAGATTTTGCAGATTTGCCTGCTCCTTGTACAGGCTTTAGTCATCCGGACAACAGTGGATCTGTCTTGGCTAAGCTCCCAAAAGCGTGCGCTCAGATTTTAAGCAGCTCTACTTCTGCGGGTGTTCCTCTTTCTGTGGCGATGTGGTCCTTCCTCTGTACACAGTACGCTCACTCGTTTACTGTGGTCAAAAACAACGAGTTTTTCAATCGAAATGTCATGTTTCTTTTACTGCTGCTGTTCTTTTTCCCACAGCACACAGCTGTGCTCTGGTAAAAAACATGCTGCCCTGAACACCTTGGTTTCTTGGTTGCTCTGCACTCCTCCTTCTCGATCATCATCAGGTCACCAGCATATTCATAGGATTCCACTTCAGCGTACAGTGGCAGTGAAGGATTTTGCCAGCCAGGGCTTTTAAACTTTGCTGGTGAATTAATTCCCAGCCATAATGAATAAATGCAGGATGTCATTTAAACACATTATCATTAGTGCTAATGTGTTGGTCGTGTAAGAACCCAGGAGTTGAATAAATGGTTTCTTGAAACATTGCCATGCATCTGTTCAGGCCAAGGTCAGGTCATCTGGCCCTGGAATGTGTCCATGCAGCTATTTTTGTTCTCCTGTTACACACAAAATAGATTTAGTCATTTAAAATATTGTGCAAATATGATGCAAAACCAAACTTTAAATTAGCAAACTTTTAGCCCTTAATACTTCACATGAAGCCAAACACAGAAACAATAGCTACAAAGTCACTACAAACTAAAGAAAACTTAATAAAGAGTGTTCAGAAAAAAAGGAAAATCACATATACGTTAGCCAAACATACTGTAAATGAACCCAGATGTAAAAGACTAAATATTTATACAGAACTATGTTTATAATTGAAAACAAATTTGTTTTATCCATTAATCAAAGGTCCAGTTAAACAACCAAACTGTAAATAATCATTATTTCTATGTATTCTTGCAGTATATTTTTACTTCAATGTCAGGCCCCGTCCAGGGATTATGAGATTGTTGTGTGGTGTTATTTCAGTCTGAATTAAAATACACTGTTGTCTTTTCATTATTAGATGTTATAAATAGCCGGCCACAAGTATGTGTACAGTACAGACATCTTTGTTTTTCTTTTCGACTCTTTTCTTGTCATAAATCTGCTCTGCTTCAGTCAGCAGGACTCAGCTTTGTTCTGGGTTGAGAACAGATTCCCTGCTCAGGGCAGTACTTTATCAATCCCATGAGGACATGGTTGTGGCGTCAACGCACACTGAGTGAAAAGCACTGAGTCATGGACAATCAAACTTGCATCTAATTAAGTCAGAGAATGAGTCGAAACAACCAAAAAGCCCTGGGGTTGAATTAAAAACAAATATTTGCATACATCAAATCACAGTAAATCACTGTCCAATAGAAGAAGTATCACATTTATTGTCATTGAACATAAACAGACAACAAAATCTGTAGTTCTCAGGGGCAGTAATGAACGAAAGCACCCGGGGAGCAAGGGAATCAGTGCAACACAGAAGGATTTGAACCTGGGTCGTCTGATTACCAACCCTTTCCTCTTCCATTAGGAGACGACAAACAGCCAGCTGCATATATTAAGATTTATTTCACTGTTCACCACTTGTTTATGCCACACACAAGCCTGTGCACATGCAGATGTATGATAATGCAGTGTGTTACCTGACAGTGTGTGTGTGTGTGTGTGTTTGTGGGTCTCCATTTTAATAAACACCACCGTACAAGTGCTCATGCGGGTCCAGCCAAGTGGCTTTATTTCTGACTTCTGCAAATCCATAAGCTACCACGCCACAATGGAAATGGATTTGGCAACGTCTGACCTTTGCTGCGATCTGCCCTGATGGTCAATGAGAAAGATGCAGTTTATTGATGGGTTTTGTCGGATATTGTAGTTCAGCGCAGCATTCCCTGTGTTTACTGTGCGTCCTCTTATGAGCAGAGTTTACCTTTACTTACCTCATTAACGGGCAAGCCCAGTTGTCAACGTTATCTTTTTTATCTTCAGGCTAACTTTAATTTAATTATCTTTTAGCCAGAAATAGTAAAACTGGTGTTCATAATCTGGGTAGCATAACGTAACATAAATGAATCAGCCACAACATGACTAAATAGCCATTTTGTGACTAAATGATAGCCTAAAAGAACTCATTTAATCTTTAAATAAGGAATGGATTATACAACTTATATTTGAATGTCTATTTTGTTTTATATTTAATGTATATTGTTTTATTTGTATTTTATTATTATTATTGTTAGTTGGTTACAGCCACTCTCTGGTCATACCCTGTATGCAGCATGTACAGGCTGTGTGGGAGTGAGGATTTCATTTCCTCCACTCTCTGGTCATACCCTGTATGCAGCATATACAGGCTGCTGCCTCTGTTGTCTTCTTCAACCACTCCAACATTTACACATCTGTAAAGTCTTTATAAACAGCCTCACACACATCTTTTTTTTTTTTTTGGCTTTTTCTCTCTTCTGCAGATAAATTTCATTTTCCTCTTTAACATCGTGAGAATCCTGATGACCAAGCTGCGGGCCTCCACCACATCAGAGACGATCCAGTACAGGTGAGGCCCACGCCCACGCCCACTTTGAAGGCTTTAAATCATTCACGTGTTGGACTGGGTTGGTGGAGTGTGTGAGACAGTGGTTTCTCTGTCATGGTTGATCACTACAGGAAAGCTGTCAAGGCCACACTGGTCCTCCTGCCTCTCTTGGGAATCACCTACATGCTGTTTTTTGTCAACCCCGGAGAGGACAAGGTCTCTCAGATCGTCTTCATATACTTCAACTCCTTTCTGGAATCCTTTCAGGTACGATTTAATCTCTGAACAGTCAAATGTGCGGTCGTCTGTGTTTGTGTGGAATCAGTGAAAATAAATGTGTGTACCCCCACTGCAGTGAGACTACTGATGTCAGCCCCTGACTTCAAATGCTTTGTTGTCTGTTTCACACACTAAACTAAATGTTTGGAATGTGCAGTCATTTGCGTGACACTTCGACCCAGTCGTCATTGTCACAGAACTGACCGAACTGTTATTTAAGTCTTCTGTGGTGTTTGACCAGAGCAGTGTGAATGTGATTTAACAGCGCTAGACTTTGTTTTAATGTTTTTTTGCCCCCTATTGTTCAACCCTGCTCTTGTTCTTCTTATCTCTGTCCTCCTCAAACACAGGGCTTCTTCGTGTCGGTATTTTACTGCTTCCTGAACAGTGAGGTAAGCAGCATTGCATCCGCTCATTGATTTATGTGTGTGTGTGTTTCTTCATTTACATTTCCTCTCTCCCTTCACGGTTTTGGTGGCTGTTGCTCTGAGTTATTGTGGGGAAGTGAGTGATAAAAGCCCACAGCGCCATGTTTTTAGGGCACAATTAAGACTTGTCATGTGCCGCCGTAAGTGACATCACATTCTACGCTTCATGACAGCGTCAGCCTTCGTTTGGTTTCATGGAGAAATGAGGGGTGAAACCAGGCGAGAATAACCGAGGTATTTTAATATGCACATAGAGAAATGCCCCTTAATCTTTAATGTGTGATGATAACACACCCCATTGTCTTTGTTGTTATTAGAACAATTCATTAATAACTGTTTTTGAAAGGTAGAATTTAGATTAATATGTCAGAAAAAAATAGTAATAAAAGAACAGAAAGAGTTGAAAACAGAAACATGTCGGTGACTTGTGGTTGTTGTAAAGATCTAACTGCGGACTAATTCCCCGTGAGGCTGGAGGTTCATACATTTTTAATAGTGACTTGTGACTGTAAGACTTAAATGCAAGCTGCAAATTATAGATGTATTGTGTGTGTGATAGATAGAGGGAAGACCCAGACTGTAGTGCATTACAATTGTGTTGACTTTATAAGGTAGGGGCAGGGGTTTTCACTTCTATCCCACGACTCTTTACTATAGACTTTTATCTTAAGGAATCCAAACGATATGCTCTGGACGGCCACAGACAGCCTGGATTTGGCGTGTGTGCCTTAAGTTTGACATGTGTTCTTTAGATGGTCATTTACAGATAAATACAAAGATGTGTTCTTGCTGTTTGCATAATTGTAGTAGTCATATTTATATTAAATCCAAGCCTATCCGTTTATCTTTTCTTTCTGTATTTGACTCTGATGTGGCCCTGCACTCGTTTGACTTCGAGATTGTGCAACAAAGAACCTATGAAGCTGTGTGTAGACATACAGCATGTAGATAGGATCAGAATGACAAGTCTTCAAAGTATATGATCAGTGCAAGTCTTCATACGGTCAAGAGATGGCGCTGGTTGCCTCTGGGGTTTGTCCACTGCTGGGAGGTCGTCGAGCGGCTTCCATGACGGTTTGACACCAGTGCGGCCCCTATTTATGCGTGGCAAAATTGTTCCTAATTAAATGGCCTAGGGTCACTGTAGATACGATCAATAATTTGACTTCTGGATCTTAGTTTATAAACATGCAGCTCTTCTGTTCTGAACTTCCTCTTTTTCCTGAGCTTCCTTAATCTCTCGCTCTCTTAGTCTCTCCTTTATAGTAATATGTCACAGCATTTCACTTGCTTAAGTATTATGCTCACAGAAATTAGTAGGTGTATCTAGAACTGTTTTAATTAGGGTAAATGATCTAAATCAGGGGATTAACAGACTGGCAGTTCATCTGCTTCTTTTTTTACCCCTGCCACACCCTGGGTGAATATTTGGAGGTATTAATTGAAGACGTCAATAACAGCAGTGATCAACAGTTTGTCACTGGCCAGTTGTTGTTGTTCATCATGTGAACAGACAAAAATAGATTTTTAAACAACTCAATAAATCACTTAGTCCCGCGGTAATAACGGAAAACAGACAGTGCTTCCATGATGAATCTGAGAGTCGACATAATTCATCGTAAACAGATGTGAAGCAGATGCTGCGGTCGACATCAATTAGACACCTCATGAATTAATTCAACTTTAAAAACAAGCAATTAGAAAAGGAGTCTTTTCACAATGTGAACCAACTTTTCACTCTTCGGGGGATATTTTGTGTTGTCTCAACCTGGGAGGCAGATTAAGGAAATGGATTTTCAGGGCTTTCGAATGATTAGATGGAGTGATCAGCTTTTAGAGTCACGCTCTCCAACTCTGGGGATCAATACCACTTAGGCCTTAACTCCATCTTATCAAATACGTGCTGCTGTCACTGAATGGATCCTTACATGGTGCCACCTGAGCCAGGATGAAGGAGTAAATACACTGATCATCACTTGACCTTTTTTTAGCATTCAAAATGCACAACATCATGTTCTTCATCGGTGGGAGATACTGAGTGCCACATCCACGGGGTCATCCATCAGATGTTCATCATATTTAGTTTAATCCCTATGAAGACCCAGAGGATACGTGAGCCAACCCCAAAGTACACTGTGGACAGTTCAGTCTGTCATTGGGCTGCATACTGGGACAAACGACCAATCACACCTAACACTGAGAACTAAAGTGTCCAATAACGGAAACTTTGAACTGTGGGCGGAGAAACCCCCACGCACACAGGGAAGGTTCATCCAGAAAGACCATCAATTACCACCTGGGAATCAAACCATCGATTTTCCTGCTGTAAGGCAAACGCATTTACCATTTATGCATAGTTAGGCGTCAGTGGTTGATCATCTTACCAGGTATTCCTTCCAGCAGTGTTTAGGGTGTAACAACAGCTGCCGCCTCCTGTCCACCGGGGATCGTCCCACTCCATGTTTCTGAGCCTGGAATATCTCGTCATCAGCCTTGTTCCTGGGGCTGGAAATGGGAGCTTAACTTAGTGTCTGTAGCTCACAGAGAATATCGACTCTGTGTTTAGTTGCAGCCGGAAAAGCTAAGAGAGAGAAAATGTAGGCAGATGAAGAGAGGATACCCGACGGAAGCCAAACATTCACCACTTAAGCATTAGTAAAAGGATTAAATAATCTCACAGTGAGACAGGAGACAGAAGCCAAGAGCGTTGATGAACTCAGCTGTAAAACGTTACAGTGTTTAAATGAGGTTCTGCTGTTTTTCTGTACCAGGATCATCAGTTTAGATTAAAGCACTTGGTCCAGAACTCTACTGTCATTAGTGCAGACAGATGGAGGAGGGAAAGTGGGACACCTGGGACACATTGATTTTGGGATGCAAAGCATGGAGGGAACTCTTGAAAAATGATGTGTGGCCTTAAGTTGCTGTGGACTCTGTTTACGCAACACATTAAGTTAACGGACGCAGGCTGTAAATTCACTTCTACGTCACACAGATCTTTTAATACTGAGACACTTTTTCTGCCCGGATGAAAAAATGTATATGTGTGTATAATGCAGAGTGAAAGGTAAAGGACAGTTTTTTCAAATGCTGATGTTAAATACTCAGGTTAAAAATAAGAAGGACTTTAGTCAAAACTCTAAAAAGAAAAAAACGTAATACCTTTACAAGTCCAAGTCACGCACAAGGGTAATTACAGGTTCGAATCATGTGTCACCCAATGTTTTAATCTACCATTTAAATGTAACTAATGTAATTATCCTGCAATAATTACACCAATAATGGCTACTGCTACTGAGCTTGAGCTTTTTCAAAAAGTTTTTTCCATCTTTTATTAAATAACTGTTCCAAAATCATTTTTATTTTGGGCAAGGCAGTGAATTTGTTTTTAGGTCTTCCATTGTTTTGGTTTCACAAAACTGCACTATATTTGAATGAATCACTTATGGAGGTTTGGACATATTTGTATTATTCTGTTCATTTTTACGCAGGACAGGATTTGTTTTATGTCACAGTCACATAATATTGACTTAGTATTTTTGATTTTTTTTACAGAGCTTTTTTATAAATTTCAATTAATAACTTTATGTGGCATTTATCTTCTTCGTCATCTTTTTAAATGCTTTCTCTTGTTAGTGGTTTGCCTTGGAGCAAAAAGGTCACCTGTTTTACTGGTTTGATTCCTGGTCTTGATGTGTGATGTTGTGAATGTCCTCCCTGTGTGGGTTTTCTCCGTCAGAAAAAACATAGAGGATCAGATTAACTGCACACACTAAACCAGGGCTGTCACACTCAATATTTATTGAAAAATTGACTGCAATTGTGCATGTCTTCCCTTCTCTCCAGATATATAATGTAGATTTTTTTCACATGGAAACAAACTCTAGTTTAATTAATATCATAAATTCAATTAAATTTGAAATAAGACACACATCAGTTCTTTTTTAATGTGCCAACAAAAGAACAACCAAAAATGTATGTGCTGTAATGCTGTGCATACACTGCTAATACTACAAATCCTGCCACTATATAGTGGCTGTATAATGGTGGGCCAGCTCTAATAAACATTTGATATGATCTCGCCGGCCAAATATAATTACACCAGGGGCCAGGTTTGGCCCACGGGCCTGAGTTTGACACCTGTGCTCTAAATCAACCACAGAAGAAGTGTGAGTGTAAATACTGTTGGTCAGACTGTAAAGTACTGTGTACCATCTGAAACATTTAACTTATAACACCAGCTGTTTGGCTGAATAGGCTGGGTGGTATTTTGTTTTTTCATAGTTCAATTTTTTTTTCTAGGTGCGTTCAGCTGTGAGGAAGCGCTTCCACAGATGGCAGGAGCAGCACTCCATCCGAGCCAGGATGACCCAGGCTATGTCCATCCCTACATCACCGTCGCGGGTCAGCTTCCACAGCATCAAGCAGTCCACGTCCCTATGAGAGGGGACGCCAGCGTTTGTCCTTCATCCATACTTCGGGATAAAACCTCTCTCTGTGGTTGTCATCGTTTCCTGCCAAATCACTGGATTACACTGAAACACTTTACGAGATGGAGAGAACTGGAGAGCCAGGGAGGAAGAAAGGAAGGAAAGAAAGTGGTTCATTATGTTAAAATCTCAGGAGAGACATTACACATGAGGACGCTGCAGGTTGTATTAGAGGAGAGGTCAGTGGTTCAGAAGGTGCATGTGACCAAGCCGCCACTGGAGTTTGGATTTGAATGTACAGCACCCCATAACTACATGTTCTTTCACTTCTGCTTGCTACAGCCATCCTGTGTGGTTTTCCTGCTTGCACCTGCTTTTTTATTTGTGCTTATGCCACTGGACTGCACTGAACTTGACTGGACTGGACTCTGGACTCCAGCAGGTACTGGACTCTGAAACTGCAAAGGGCAGGGAATTATTTAAAGAAAAAAAAAATGATGGTTTTGTTTTAATGATATTGTTCGAGTGTTTTGTGTTAAGTTTTGGTGATGTTCTTTCTTCTACTTTTCTCAAGGTTAATTTTGAACACATTCCACACATTCAACCTGAAGAGATTTTGTTCCAAATTATTATGTGCTCTGTGGATATATCCAGGGACCTCATTAAAAGTCAAGCACATAAAGGGTTGGTGGTTTTTTGTTTTTTTTTAAACTTAAAATGAAAGGGTTTTTTTTTTTTTTTTAAACTTAAAATGAAAGATTGGTATGTTTCTCATATCTCTGCAGTATGTTAATGTGAGCAGCCAGAACCAAGATGTTCTGATGACAACTTTCCACTCAAGCACCGTGATTAAAGGAGGACGGTGAGAATAGCCTTGATGAATAAGTAAGTGTGGATAAATGATCTCGGCCCGACGTGCTGTCATGAAAACTAACATGGTGAGATATTAGGCCGTGCTTTTTCACCTCTAACTATGCTCAAAATGTTATTACAAGTTCAACTCAACATGATTTCCTTCCTCATAAGAACAGACCATGAATGCAGCTCTCTCCGTAGCCTAGCAACATGCGATCTGCAATGAATCACTTGTGTGAGGAGAAGTGTCAACAGTATGCTCCGCAGCAGAATATCCATCTTCAAATCAATGTAAAATTAAACACTGACCAGTGCTGGTTTATTTTGCGACAAATAATTAGTTTTATATTTGCAGTGATCGTGATAAGATATGGAAAACATTCTGTTTCATCATCACATTCATATGTTTGGGTCCAGATTTTTTTGCTACTTTCTGTTGATTTGCCAACAAAAGAGTCCGGCCCAACTGACTTGTAGTTTGAAAACCTGGTCCAATTGCATTTCTAATAAATAGCCCTGAAATGCAACATAGCACATGGTCACATGGCCATTTATGTTAACCTGACATAACACTTCTTCTTCAACACCTGACCACTGGAAATCCATTCTGTCCCCTCATTTAGCTCTGTTCTGTCCCCACCACTTCATAAACTGAAATATCTGTCCGTGATGACCACCAGCTGGTCTTCAGCTGTAATTAAGCAGATGGTGGACATTGACTTCATCCCACATTTTAACTGATAACAGCTGCCTGTACAGCCCTAAAGCTAATACTGAGGAGACCAGTGAGACCCAAACAAACGAAGGTCATGGCCTGGAACAACAGAATGGCTTTATTTATTAGGAGGTGATAATAATCTGTGTGCGTCTGGTCCGGTGAGTTAATCACTTTACAATGAATTCACTCAACAATCGACATTTTATCACCATTTTGGCAAACATAAATACCTATTCACGAATGTCATAATATCTGGAACAAACCTTTCACGATAAGAGACTTATTCCTGTTGCTGCTCTTGTCTTCATCTCTACCAGCCAACCGAATGCTGAGCATATTTAGTATGGTTCCAGGAGGTTTTCATTTCCTCTCTCAACAATGGGACACGCTGTGGACTTGATGTGGCCCACAAGAAGCGTGACAACTTTGTTTACTTGTAAATACAAATGTCAGAGTGGGGTGTTGAATTTTAGTATCACATATATAAACCAGTACAGCAGGCCAAAACTTACACACACACACACACACACTGTAAAACATGTGAGCACATTAATCATGTGACTTTCACGCACACTCCACATTCCTTAATACTCAGAGCCAGTTCACCTCACACCTGTGCTTTTTTATGAACTGCTGTTTGTATTAGAATTGTAAATCAAACCTCTTCATTCATGTTTTTATTGTTATCTTTATAAACCCTGTGAAAGAAAAGGAAGAAAAAAAAGTGATATTATTTAAATAACCCAAATCTCTCACCCCGATGTGATGTGTATTATTATTGTTGTTGTTGTTATTATTATTAATGTTGTTCATCAAATGTAACCTGGCAGCCTGTGTAACTGTGAGCAGGGATTAGTAGCTTTTGATTTGTGATCAAAGTGAAGATGATGCTTGTGTTTGTGAAGAAAGTTTCATGTAAGGTTTACACAATTTGGTTGAAAATGTTAAAAAACAAATGTGACACCATGGTTTTGTTCACCTTTTCATTTCTACAGTTCAAATGATAACCACTCATTTAGAAGACAAAAAAACTAAACTATAAGCCACGGCTGTTGAGTATCAGTATTAATCATGGTTAATCCTGATTGAAATTAATGGATAATTAATGCTGGTTAATTAAGTTAATAAAGGCAAAAGTCCTCTATATGATCAATTTTGCGCTTTCCTTGAACAGCAGAAAGACTAATAAAGACAGGCCGATGAATGTGTTTCACACCAGTTTTTATTTGTGACTAATCCAAATTATGGAGTTAATATTAAGGGAAAATCAAGTCAAAGAAAATATGCAACAGTAAAACGACACAGTAAAAGCTTCGTAGAGTTGGTGGTTTCAGTCATTACTGTGGCTCGTAGAGTGTGTTGAGAGTTGATTTCTAATCTACAGTGAAGCCTTGGCTTCAACAATATTATAACATCAGTCTACAGTTCCTACAGCCATGGACTATCTCAGTGAGGCTGCTCTGACACAGGCCCAGCGTCCGACCTGTAGTTGATGTCTCCATAAACACCTGTTGGGTGTTGAGATGGCAGTTTGAACTGTGTATTAATTATGTATAAAAGCAACAATAAATGGATGGATGGTGAAATAGTTACATTTAAAAAATGTGTTTAAGTACACCTTTCTCTCCCTTCTTTAAACATTTTAATCTGATGAATTCCACAAAATAATTATTCTAATGAACACGTCACTTCAAATGCCCTAGAGAAATCAGCCCAAAGTTGATTTCTCTTCTCTCAAAGATATTCTTCTTAAGTAGTATTTTGTAGACTTCCAAGTGTAAAAAGGTCTGTGTGGATAATATTTCAAATTCCCTCCTGAGTTATTCTTTTAGCTGCCAGAGAAATGATTGGTCATCAAACACCACTGGATTTTCTTTTGTAACAGAAGACTTTGATGATCTTCATCATCTATTCATACACAGTGTGACATGTGGATAGTAACATATTTTAAATGTCCAAGCAAAGAAAGCTTTTTTGAGTCTGTTTGGTCAAAATGAGCTATGAAAAGGAATGCTACACAACATGAGTAGCTCTCACATTTTTTATTTGGTCAAAAAGTAGCTCTAGTTCTAGCTCATCAGTCCTAGAATGTCCATGTTGGCCACATTAGCTCCTATGGGTTTCAGTGGTACAAAGTAGGGATATGGTCAAACAACAAGCATCCCTTTACCCACATTAGAGCCTTTACTTCACACATGGGCCACGTGTACGGCTGCTGGATGTGAAATATCATTCTGTCTTTTCAACCACAGAAACCAAAACCAATGTTATTCAATATGATTTCTTATTATTTATTCCCAATGTTGGTATGTTGGTAACACAAAGAACAGCTGGAATGTCACAGAGCGTTTGTGTATACAGTAGAAAAGGTTTTTATGCACACGACAGTAAAGTCAGAGCCAACAGAGAAATGTACACAGATGTGGAGCTGCTGCATGGAGAAGCCTGTTTCATTGGCTTCGCTCAGGATCACACGGCCATTTGTAGACTGTCCCTGAAGACACAGGCGAACAAGAAATACATTTTGAGCGTCCTGTGATCCTTTTAATATTTGTGTGTATGTGGGAAAGAGAGAAAGCTCTAAAAAAAAAGCTATACATGTGGGGACACAAGTATTGGAAATATACTACTGCTATACACACCTTGCTACATTTTGTGTGAGAAAGTACTTTGAGATTTATCTTGAAGTTAGGATTAGAATTAGGGTCATATTAGAGATAAGGATTGGGCAGATATTTGTCATTTGCAGTCCAGAATAAAGGTCTCAAGAAGATTCACAAAACACAAATGTGTCAGCATGTGGTTGTAATTGTAATATTGTAATTGTTGGGATTTCTTTTAATTCCATTTGGAGTTCAGAATCGAGAATCAGCATAGGTTTAGGATTAGTGTGATGGCTAAAGTTGGCTAAAGAGGAGCTGATGCTGGGGAATGCATTGTCCTTATGTGAAGTACTAACCAGTATGTGTGTGTGCGTGCAGAACAGAGGCTTTTAAAGGAAACTTCCGCTCAAGTGAACATGCTCTGTTTGCTCCCAGGACTCGGAAGAAGGAGAATGTTTTTTCTTGTTTTTAATCTGGTTCTGGTTGAGAAAGCAGGAAAAATATGTGTGTCTGGTGATGGTTTGTGTTGATATAAGAGTGGGGGCCAGGAGGGGCTACAAGTGGCAGGAATTGATCGTGACAATGTTCACGGTGTCTTTTAAGGGATCATAATATGTGTTACAGTTCAGGCCTTGTGGCGTTGTCATTATTCTACGCTGCATGAATTTTTTTTCCCCTGCTAACAAGAATTGAAGAAGGTTAGTCATGGCCTGCAGAGCCGCTGTGAGCAGAAGCGGGGATCCGTTTTTACACTCTGGGTTGATGCTGCTCATCTTCAAAGTCCAGGATTAGACTGTGGACAAAATAAACACATTCTCCTTCTCATTATTTCAACACTTCTGATGATTGTGTGACGGCACTGTGGGGGTTGCTCTCCATCTCTGCTTATGTCACATCCACTACCTTGTCTCTACAACATCACTATGACCATCAGTGTCTGTCTTCAAAATGGTCTTGAATCAACCCTTTCACCAGACACTAGGATGATGTTGGTGCACGCTCTCCTGTGCAGCCTGATGTTACTAATGACATTGACCTGAGTTGAAATGAGTCCATAGGTTCCAGGAAGGCAATAGGCTGGAATGGTGGTGTACGATCAGACATACAGAAATAAGATGAGTTCAACATATGAAACATGAGGAGCCTCAAGATACAACAAGTGTAACTAATGCATGTATAACAAAGTAATACGTATATATCTAGAATAAGAGATAGGATCAGATGGAGATCAGCTGTAGCAACCCCTAAAGGGAGAAGCTGAAAGACTTTGTACAATGTAGTAGGTCATGAGTACATCATCACAAAGTACGTGGTGCCCTGATGTGACCACAGCTAAATACACTGGGGTACAGATCTGTGGAGTCCTTTAGGAGATAATAACTTACACAACACATTTGTGAAACATAAGTGTGTCCCTTAGTGGGATGTAATTACATTCTTACTACTCATCAATCTCTGATTAAGAGATTTTTAAAACAGTTTTCCCATACTGTACTACAGTTGTTTAATATTCACTTCCTGCGGACTGCGGTC